AGGGGGGAGTGGGGCCCAAGGCAGTGGCTCAGAGGCGACACATTGTCCGGAAGGCTTTCTTTTCAATATTGACGGACCTAGGAGAGTTGCTGCTCAAAGGATTCCTGCCCACGTCGGGGTCAGTTACCAGCTGCCGCACAGTCGTTGGGGGTGGGGTGGGGTGCAGTGGGGGTGAATTTTGCAGTTTTGCCTGACTTCCCAGCCCTCGGCATTAACATGAAATGAAATGGGATTCATAGGAGGATATAGGACTGGGAAGGCCAGAGCCAAGTTCCAGAGTCCTGTTCTGCATTCCTACATCAAGCCCCGAGAGGTGGGGGTCCCAGCCTGGGAGCTTCTAACAGCAGGGCTAGGGGGAGGGTGGGGGTGGAGCCCATCAATTATTGACATTCAGAACCTTGCTGACTCCATCGGCAGGGCCGAGGGATGGTCAAAACCCCACCACTGGCAACCACCTTCATTCAAAATCCATCTTGAACCTGATTCCTCCCTGTCCACTGTTACTGGACCAAGCCCCAGTGCTGCTCTTGACCTTGTGCAGTAGCTTCCCACCTCAGCAGCCAGCAAGACCCTGTGCAACTCAAATCAGACCATGTCCCTCCTCTGCTCAGGGGCCCTGCAGTGATTCTTCCCTCCCAAGCGGTGAGCTCATTGTCCGGCCCTAAGGGGGCCGGAGAGTCTATCACCATAGTCAAAACTAAGACCAGGTTGATTGTGGAGACAGTCGAAGTTGATTCCTGTACGCACTTGCAACAGGAAACCAGGCAGTTTTCTTCTCCCAGCTGGCTCAGAGTTCAATCCTGACCACCCCACAAGTTACTACACAAGAAATAGGATGCTACAATGGCTCTGGGAGGAGATGAGCAGGATTTTACAAGGTCGCAGAACTCAAAAGAAACTCAAGGAAAGCAGGTTTGGGGATGATTCTTAGGAAATTATCCATGCCTGCATTTCTCCAGGGGTCACCAGGCCACCGTCCCCTGAAGCTCCCTGCAAGGGTACAGGGAGTTTTATCTAAATTGGGGCGGTGCCTCTTGTCTGGCTACCTTTTTGTTTGTTTATTTTTAAAATTTTTATTGGGGCTCTTACAGTTCTGATCATAACCCAAACATACACAGCCGTTGTGTCAAACACATTTGTACGCATGCTGCCATCATCATTTTCTTTTTTAAAATTATCTTATTGGGAGCTCATACAATTCTTATCACAGTCCGTCCATCCATCCATTGTGTCAAGCACATTTGTATATTTGTTGCCATCATCATTCTCAAAACATTTGCTTTCTACTTGAGCC